AATCTATGAGATTCAATGTGGAGAAAAAGGGGATGTTTGTTGCCAGTTCTGAGTGGCACATATACATTCCTAGTCCTAAGAATAGAGCTGATGCTTCTTCAGTCTTGGGTACCAAAAAGGACATGGTCATAGCAGAAACTACTGAGATGCTGCAGAATGTTTGAAGAGAGAAAACCTGATGTAGCTTTCCCCTCAACTGTTTCATGGGGGAAAGTAGTAGGGTTTCATCATAAATTATGCAAAAAAAAATGCAGAGTATGTTAAAAAAAATGAGAACAAGAACTCAGGCTAGTGCTTAGCCCATACCAAATACACTAAGTTCTATAAAGGGGCCATGTCATCATGAGGACAGTCCAGCTACCCACTTGATGCATTATTCATGGAATATTCCCACTGACAAATGCCTGTTCCACACCTGAACTTCTCTATTGACAGATGGCATGTCTGTTGTAGACCACCTTGGATGTCAGACATTTTTCCTTCTATTCAGCTGCTGTCTTATTTCTTCTAGCTTGCACTCACCAAACCCAGTGCTCCTTTTCCTCTTGAGTAAGAACCATTTAAACATGGAAAGCCAGCCCCATCTTGTTCTGTCCTGGGCTGACCATTCCCAGTACCTACACTTTCCATATTCCTTCCATTTCATCATTCACCCATGGCCATCCCCCTAGATGCTGCTGTTACATGATTTGATTGTTTCTGAACATGCCAATGCGAAGTGTCTTACTCAGCTTAGTCTCGCTGGTGACAACAGCAGCAACACTCCTTTGATCTAGAAGCTAAACTGAACTTCACGTAGCCTGGAACGGCACCCATGTTCCTGTGGCTGGGTCTTTCTGTTGATTTCCATGAGGAATGCTGCAGATTAAAGTAGAAGGCTTGATTCCCCATATAGGCCCCAGCTGACCTTGTAAAATGTTGTTTCAAACACTGACCTGTAAGAATTATACACACTTCAATGTTAAGTTGTTAAATGTGACCCATACCTCTGCCTGAGGAGGGTTTTTGTTTGTTTTTTGTTTTTTTTATCAAATCCTAATTCTGTCATTTAATAATTCTCTCCCAGCTTCATGACATACCCATTTTTCATAAACCGTCCTTCTGTAGCTTCCTTCAAGTTATTAATTAAAATTTCGAACAGATGGGGCCAAAGGCAAGCTTTGCAGCAGGACTGTAGACCCGCTCTTCCAAGTTGATGCACATCCTTTAATTAGTGCTGTTCAAGTGGCTGCACGCCCACCGCCCACCCACTGCACAAGCGTCCAGCTCATCCTCCTTAACTTCATCCAGGCACATTTCACTCAAAGCCACCTCAGTCTCTCATGAAGGCTCAGGTACTTTGTGTCCTGCGTTCTTCTTAGCAGCCTTACAAAGTCGAAAAGGGAGTCTGTAACGGTTTCTTCTTGGAATAGATATCTAGCTGGCTTCTAGTAACTGTTGCTTTCCTTTCACTCAGAGAACCTGTCATAAATTAAGATCAAGCTCATTGGCCTACAGCAAAACCACACTCTCAGGGATCTGTTTCCAACATTTCCTATTGCTTATCATTGTCAAGAAAGAGAACCAAAATGGACTTAGCATGGGAGAACTGAAAATGGTATTGGAAGGCCATTATTGATCTCAGACACATGCACAAGTGAACCTTTGAACTGGGGGTTATTGCCATGCTCTCCCTGAGATACAAGCTGACCTTTGTGCCATTTTTAAACTTTCCAGATCTTCTTTACAAAGGTCTCCATCCTAAAGCCAAACATTCTTTTTTTTTTCTTCAATTTTTTTTTATTGTGATTAAGTGGTTACGTAATTTCCCAAATTTCACAGTATTGTGGGATAGTGAAGGTTAGTTAAAGTCACAAACACATTCTAACTTTCATGGGGCAAATTGTCTATCATGGTCTATAACATTTATGAGTTCTATGAGCTTTGCAATACAGTTATTTCTTCCACATTGGGTAATATGTACATTTCTTTTGAGGCCAAACATTTTTACAAGATGTCTTATAAGAAACTTTTTTTGGGGGGGGTCCAGTCGTGGGGCCTGAACTCTGGGCCTGGGCGCTGTCCTTCAGCTCTTCAGCTCAAGACTAGCGCTCTACCACTTGAGCCACAGCGCCATTTCCGGCTTTTTTCTTTTTGCTTATGTGGTGCTGAGGAATCGAACCCAGGGCCTCAGGCATGCAAGGCAAGCGCTCTACCACTGAGCCACCTTCCCAGCCCCTTATAAGAAACTTTTAACTCTGGTGAGGATCAACCATAATTCCTCACCAATGAGTGGTACAACTTCTCCGTCCCTTGCAATTTAAAGCTGTAAATGGAGTCACTGTAGTCACTATTTTGTATAACTTTGAACCACATCTTCAAGACTGTTGGAATATGTGTTTTCTTGAATTGCAATCCATATTGGCTCCAAAGTAAATGTTATTTTCTTTGTTCCCAACTGCATTTTTATTCTCTGTTGACAAAACTTTGTCATAAAACTTGACAGTGATCTGTCTCATTGGTGAATCTCACAGTGCTACTGAATAGAATGATTCCAGACATGAGACTTCAGGGTTTTTTTTTTAATGTATATATATAATCTTAATTAGCTCTGGGTCTTAGTTTTCTCTTATGAGGGTACATCTTTAAACAGGATCACATAGTCTCTGTGATTCGGATTTTATTAGTAATGGAACAGAGCAACTGTCTTTGGAGAACAGGCCACTGGGCAGTGAAGGACACGCATTCCATATGTAGGCTGTGTAAACAGAACGGAACAATGAGGGATAAGCAACTTCACCTGCAAAACTGTTATTTCTTTGTGGTTTACACACCATGGCTGTTGTCACCAAGGCAGTATTTTTACGTTCAAGAGGATTCATTTCAAAAAGCTCACACTCCCTCTTCCCCGCTTCAAACGTAAGGCAAACTTTTCAATAGCAGTTTGGGTGGGATCTTATTTTTTTGTTTTCTAGGTCAACAGATCTTAACATTAGGTTTCCTTAAGAGAATACAAAGGTACACTCTGGCATCATGGAGAAGTGATTTGGAGCTCACCATTTAGAATTTGGAATGATGACTAATCTGTGGTCCCTTGGCTTTTCTGAGAAATAAGCTGGAATGCAAGTGATTCTTGAAACTGCTTCAAGGAGTTCAACTGTTCCTCCCTGCCCAGGCCACCCCCCTCCCCCGAGACAACAGGCCTCTGAAGTCTCTTTACATAAATAAAGTTTGCACAGAAGTTTGTGTGGCTGAATTGCTATTAATGATTTTACTGTCTTACTAGTCAATGACCTAAGGCTACATCTTTCACCTGAGGCTCTTCATATGGATGGGCAGAGTGCTGTATTACTTACTTTTAAAGGTATTATTCTACTTGTTTAAATAAACAAATAACATTCCTCCGAATGATTGAAATTTGTTGGTTTTATTTCTAAGTTTGTACATTTACATATACCATTTACATATTTTAAATCCTTCACTATTTTGCATGATTTCTATTACATAAAAGCCATTTTAAATGCAATCACTTTTGTTGTTGGAAAACAACAAAATACACCCCCCCCCAACTTATAAAAACACAGCAACAGTGATATTCATGAACATGTACACAATAGAGAAATGTACTACTATAGATCACAGCTTCTATACACATCAGGTGACCCATTTGTCTACAGGATTTAGGTTTACTTTAATAACAGTGAAATAGGGTAAGATTTATATACAACTATTTTAATAAAAATAAAGTAACTGTAAAATGTAAACTTAATTTTCAAAATATTCTTTAAACACTTTAACAATATCCACATAAACTCCTGTTCCATCCAAAAGATGACCACCATAAAGGCCAGTTTCTGAGTTGGCATCTCTTAAATCTGGCGGGTGATGATGAGGAACAGGTTTCCAGTACATGATACAGTACCACTAGCTTACCCAAGTCCGCTAATGCTGACAGTTTGGCCACTAAAAAGGAATAGGCTGCTGTTTTATCACTAATCACTTTCACAATTGGCAGGGGACAGGCCTACAATTAAGCTGAAATGATTGGTGGAGAAAACTTTGAAGGTAAAGGAATGTTGCACACTGCCAATTAGCTTCAGCCACAGTGAATATAAATCCAGTTAATAGGTTGGGAAAGCTACAGTCTTGTCATACAGTGAAGATACAGTCTCGTACCCTTCTGAGAGTCCCACAGAAAACAAGGCTGACAACAGGGCTTCTCCACTTTGCATTAAGCTTCTGTTTTAGAAATGCATTCCTAAAACTTGAGGTAGAAGAGAATGCAGGGAAGGCCTAGAAGGCCATGACCCAACAGCCTCATCTGGACAGAGCAGCATTGCTGAGCAAGTTTAATATTCTTTTATTCACAGAAATGAAATATTTCCATTTCCAGATTCTTGGGGCAAAGGCAAAGATATCACCCAACCCTGGTTAGAGTTCAATGTACTAGATGGTTTCTTGCAGAAGCAAAACTGGTAGTTTTAGTTTCAGAAGAAGAAACAAGAAAAAAAAAAAAAGAAAGCTTTTCCTTACTTTTGTCATGGGCCACCCACGTGACTTGGTGACTTTCAGGGTTGGTATCTTACCTCAGTAGGTCAGCCCCGGGCAACAGCTGGATTCCTAAAGCACGTGGAATCCAGGGTGCACCTGCTGCTCAGCAGAAGCTGAGTGGAGTGGAAGGCCAGGGAAGAGGCTCTAGAGGGGGACATTTTCTCCCTCTGCAGTGCTCCTGGGGTTCAGAGCTCAGGAAAGTGAGCCTCAGACCTATAGCGTGGTCCTTCCTGGAGCCTTGTGGCTGGGGCTCTCCTATGCATGTCCAAAGACCTCCACAGACTGGTGGGAAAATAGGTGGTACTCCAAAATTCTCTCCACTAACCAACATTTTCAGGAATTGTAGTTAAGGTGCTTATTTTTACAACACTATACACATGAGAACTGAGCTCTCCACCCTGAAAAACATAAATGTTTTAGCTACGGTCCCTCCCACCTCGCCCCCCATCCTCCTCCCCTCCCCTGCCAAATTTGCAAATGCCATCCCCACGATCCAGTCTGATGGAACAGTGCCCAACTATTCAGTGTGAGCTCTCTCCCCTGCACAGCTCAAAGGGGGGGGGGTGTGACCATCCATACCCAGCGCTCCTACGGTAAGTGCTTTGTGGCTTCTCCATCTACACTCCTTTCTAAAAGGAGTGATCTACAGCTCAAGCAGCTTTGCCACTCCAGAACATGGTGCACACTGACTTTCTGGAACCTCATCTGTCCTTTGGAGGGATGCTGGAGAGAAGGACAGCACATGAGTTAACACGAAAGCCTTCAAGTTGGTGGTCTGCCCGGAAGGACGTGGCACATATTGCCTTACTGCTTTGTTACGAATGTGACGCTTCACAAAGTCATGCTCTACAGCTCAATCAAATCCCTCCTTGGTCCTGGAAAAGCCTCTGTGACAGTGTCTGCCTTCTTGGTGCATCACCTCTCTAGAATGCTCCGGCCCTTTGTGTCTTAAGTTCCTATGTTTGTATAACTTAAAACATCCACTGAGTGTGTGCACGTGTGCAAGCAATCATACATGGATGAGGTTCCAAATATCTCATGCTTCCCCTAACACACCTAAGGAAATGGTAAGCTGGTCTGGGTATCTTAAGAACAGGCTGAACACATACATGGCTAGCCCAAATGGAGGGGAGAGAGCTCAGCTCCTCCACTTCCATTTGGTCTAATTATTCTTGTTCCTAGAGCTTTCCAAACATATTCTAATAGCATTGAAAACCAATGTGCATAAATATTCTCAATAGAGTGGATATTATCCTGTTGAATGGTTACTTGGCTTTACGATCTCCATGGCTTTCTATTAAAGTCCACACATTTCAAATAACTGAGACTCAAAATAAAACTTCTTTCTACTACTCCTTTGCTGTGTGATTTCTGTAAACTACCAATAATTCTTAGAAGGAAATACTCTTGCAGAACTAAGACTCTGCTGATCAGTCGCAAAGCCAGTCCACTGCACGTCAAGAACAAATAAAGAAATATATTTGCAAAAATAGTTTGAAACTGTAGAGTCAATAAACAACAGCAACAACAACAACAACAAGACTCAAATGTAATTAACTATCAACACGCTACTGTGGTCTGGAGCTGAAGGTTTGTTTTCTACCTACAGTTCCAATTCTCAGAATCAGGTTCAAAGACATGAGCAGCGTGTTGAAACAAAAGACACTGCACTCAGTCACTCACTCAGACACACTCAGTCACGGCTTTAAATACATCAAACATGCTGGTTAATAAAATTTTAGTTTCTAGTTACTTATTTACACTCTATAATATATGCAATAAGGTCAAACAACTAAGGCCAGTGGCTCTTCTTTGGGGAGAGGCAGGAAAAAGAGACCTAAGTATAAAAATATTAAATAAAGTTTTAACCTGGTCCTAAAGTCCTTTTTACCTGTGATACTAGCTACTAATTTGTGCAACTGCAAACCTGGAATACAGTACCCAATCTTGGGATGCCCTGATATACTTCAGCATTTATGATACTCCTTTAAAGCAAAAAAGAAGGTAAGGATACGGCACCAGGAGAGTGGTTTCATCTACTGTTAAATATACATAGGTACACGCTGGGTACTTACTTAGTTCTTCAGAAAGCTATGTATTTTTTTTCCTGGACTAATTACAACAATAAAGAACGTGTGCTCTAAAGCATCACATTTTGTAATAAGCCCCAAATTGTCAGTTCAACTTTATGTTTAAGTGCTCTTAATACTAAAGTTGCTAAGAGTGCACACACAGGCTGGCTTTCCCCATTTGCTTCTTTCTGTGTTTCCCAAGTGACAACACGCTACCCCCTTGGCACTGCATATTGTACACCTCAATAGTTTCACAAGGGTAGTTCAAAGTCATTTTCCCTGGTGATTCAAAGCTCACAGATAGAAGGATTTTTTCTAGCATAAAGTCTTAACATTTTAATCAAAATATCATCTGAATTTAAGTTTAAGAAAACAATACCACTCTGTGTGTTCTCAATTGCACTGTACAATCAGTCCTTTGAGGTTTTTACTTGCTTTTTTTCATATCACACTGGTTGATCAGGACACAAATAATTTCAATGCACATACACACCATATACTGAGATACCATCTACACATTGATTCACATACATACAACTACAAATACCCACATACACAACATTGGCAGGTGACAGAAAGCATTTTCTTTCTTTTTTTGACATTTGACACCACTGTCTGTATTCTTCAAGACCCTACAATACAACAGACACACATAAATCACAAAGGATGCACCAAGGAGACCTAAGGGAACCTACTATATACACAATTAACTTGCGATCTTTTCCTCGCTGTTGCATTCAAGTTAGAAAACCAACATGCAGATTCAAGTATTTCTTGACATTCTCTCTATGAAGACACACTCTCTTCATGCAATGAGCCTTTAACTGTCCCTAACAGGCTGCCTGCTTGGGTTTTGGATACTGCAGGTACAAAAGGAAACTGACTTTGGACTGCAGTCCTCCTTTTAAGGGAGAGTGATGGAAAAGGAATATGAGAGACGTGGTAACAAAGTACCTCTTTATCAGCTCTCTATCACTCTCAGTAAATTATAAAAGGATGTCCTGTGATCTCTGAAGTCCTTTGGATGACTTGATGGTGTAGGATGACAAAGGTCAGGGGGACAAAGTCAGCAGCCTTGTCTCGGTGAATGAAAAGGCAGGAAGCTTCGGATACCAGAAGGCCCAGAGGGTAATCTGCCTGCCAAATGGACTATCTGAGTTACTTATAACTGATGCACTGAAATCACTCCTGAATTTCTCTACTTACAGCCAGGGAGAGCTTTTCAACTGGAAGAAACCTGCCATTCAGCAGGGATCATTCACTGCTGAAAATCAAAGTGGCTACAGACTTGCTGAAAAACTTAACTGAGCCCACAAGAGCTAAACTATAGAGATTTGGACCTACAAAGCTAAGAAACCTACTATCAACCAAGGCAGAACTAGGCTTAAATGGTGAGTACAAGGAACCATGCCAAAGAATTCACATTCCAATGCCAACTGACCAAATCTACAAAGTCTTGACAGGAGGACAATTGAGAAACTGCATCTCAGAATACAACTCTGGCTCTTTACTTGCTAAAGGAGGCTCTGTGTAACTCTGCTTAGGCCTGAACGGCCTCTTTCCCTTCCGGTTATATAACTTCTCCCTCAACTTCAGAAGTACTACACTTGGCCTTAGAATGAAACCCAAACCTAGCTGAGCCTGGAAAGCCAGCCAGATTTTCCTGTTCCCAAATTATTGTCTTCACGTCACTTCTGACTAGGAAGCAGTCCTTTTTTTTCTGGCAACAGTTAGAGAACCAAGAGAACTCACAACCAGCACATGACTGCTTCATGAGAAAATGTTTTTCTTTTTTACCTCTGGGCAACTGAAAAAATTGTATTTTTATCAGAGGATACTCCCACGTGTTGGTCTTACTGAGATGAATAAAAATGCACAAATGTAATACTTGGGTTCATTAAACATTGACCAAAGTTAGGTAATTGATGTTTATAAAAGTACATTGCACAATTACCTATAGTGTGTCAATCAATAAGGACTCTGCATGTCAGTAACAAAGTTATGATCGACATCTCCTTGTAAAAGATACCATGTAAGATGGGGTTAAGTCCACAAACAGAATTTTATACTTGGGCTATTTTGTGGTCAATTCTGCAACAAGACTATCACCAAGGTCTTTTGATGACATATTTTGTACACTAAAAATTACTACTATGGGTGTTTATACAAAGAAAAATAATAGACAGGAGCCCACAGCTCCCAGGCCATGAGGTAGGGGAGAAGAGTGGGTGGGGAGGGGGTTGGGGGAGTACCTTCTACAGGAAAAGAAGGGGAGGGGACTCCCTGTACCGTGAATCGGGCAACAAGCTTGGAGGGGTAGTTAAGGGAATCACATTTCACTTCTGACTCTATGTGATCACTAAGGAAAGTGGCTGGCTGTGCGCCAGACTCTCAGAATCTACTCAGATCAGAGGCTGTTTGCTCCCGAAGGATAATCTCATGGCCTGCTACATGTACTGATGGCAGACAGCATCCTTCTACAGGCCCAGGGGAGGAGGTATTTCTAGGCCAGCCTCTGAAGATGAACACCACCACACTAGGGCAGCTGGGATCCTGGCTCACAAAACAGCATTGGCATTGTTTTTAAAGATAAATGATGCAGACAAGGTATTCTGCAGGTTTGAAGGTGCCCTTGTCGCCTGATTATCTATGAGCATGTCCACATGTCCCCAGAGCCAACCCTACTGAGTCTTGTGAGGAGAGTAGTGCTGATGGTGAGTATTTCAAGATGACTTTACGTATCAGAAATACTGTAGCAAGGTACCATCATTTCAATGTATATACTGTTAATACATATGAACATTCTACATACACAGACACAAAGTGGGATGAACATGTTCAAACCTGTCAATTGTTCTGAGGTACTGATGCCCACATGACAGCATCTAAGTACCTCTTAGTACAAATATTGAGGCAGAAAACAGACAGATGCTAGCAGTTCAGCTTCTAGGAAGAAAAGCCACTTGCTTGTTGGAATCTTGGATTCACTAAGAAGCTACCAAAATGATTTAGGTACTTAGATCACTTTGGGAATTAGCATATTAGTTTCAGGTTGTGCAACATACGTTTAGTCCTTGCCTTAATTCAAACACAATAGAGATTTGAGGAAGTTTTTCAAAGATTTGGCAAAATACCGCATAGCAAGAAACTACACATTGGAGAAGGGCTATTCTTCCTTGGACACCAACTAATACAGAAAGTAAACATTAATAAATAAGTGCTAGTACACCCTAATAGTGTCACTAAAACTACCATGATTCTTTAGCAGGCTTCCCCTAATCCACTGGGACCATGCTATTCATGCAGAGCAGCTAATGCTTTGGTCATAGTACCTTCAACTAGTAAACTAAGTAAAAGTAGAGAAGATTTCTATGGGAAGAAACAAATATTGAAGTAATCTCATTAGTCTTGAAGTTGTATTATTATCTGGGAAGATGACGGTTTTAGGGAATACAGAGTGTTGAGGTTGGAAATCAACCTCAAGTCCAGAGGGCTCAACTTTCATTTCCTTCTCTTCCTCTGTCCAAGAGCATTTATTCTGTTATTACCCTGGGTTTCAAAGGGACTGTCACCATAGCAAGCTTGTGACTGTGAGGTGAACAGTACTATTTTGAATACACAGAAAGAAATGATAAAATAGACAAAGAATATTTTAGGAAGAAGTGTAATGGTGACAGAGTAAAGTGGTTATTGAAGAGAGGGAGATAAGAATAGACTAGTAAACAGTCTATGCAACTGGCAGATTTCTCCCTTTACTATCAACCATCCAGCCAGATACTCCTTTCAGATTTAGTTTAAGGAATCAATACCCATTGCTAAAGAACTAAACCTGCTATCTACTCCCTAGTTTTGTCTTGACTTTACGAAAGCACAAAAGGGGTTCCATGTTCATCATTATTTTGTTTCAATCAAGAGATGATCCCCCCTATACATGTGTGTGTAGAGTAAAAAGAATCTGTTTCTGAATGGAAAATTATGACTGATAGAGATGATTCTGGATTCCTAGTCTAGACCCTGTGGGAGTGAGGTAACAACTTCTTGCAGACCATACTCATATCTACTGCTGTAGCTTCCCAAGAGCAAATTATTGTCTCTATATTTAGAAAACAGAGTTAACTCCATAGCAATCTAACCTTAGACTTCAAAGGGCAAAATGAGTCCACTTCTTCTATCCCTTACTTGCTGGAGTGGAGTTCACACCATAAGCAAGGAAATGTGCTTCCAGAAGTTCTCTAGTCCTGTGATCTCCATACCCTTTTTGCCCTGCTTCCAGCAGGTCGGAACTCAACAATTCGTGCTAAGATGCGCATCTAGGTGCATCACTTCGCAACAACTTGACTCCCAGTACTGTAATTCTTACTTAAGCATGTGTCAGTCAGTACTCAATTTCACCTCTGTGACTGGGTGAGATTTCCCATATAAAGACTTAGGCTAATTCTGGCTAGAATTTACTAAACCACAATGTTTCTCCAGTTAAGTTTCACAATGGATTGAATTTTTCAATCTTAAAAAAAAAAGTAGACCAGTTAATTGCGAATACATAAAACTGAGCAAAGTACAAACAAAACAAAATCAAAGGAGAAGGGATACGAGACTGTGGAATCAGGATCCTCTGCCTCCTCACACACAAAAAAGGTGCATTAGTTACTGAGTCGCAAAAGTCATCATAGAAAGCACAGAAATCAAGAGCAAAGACCATCTCTACAGAAACTAACAAAAAATACAAATAGAAAAAGTTACTAATGCACCATTTAGTCACAGAATTTTTTTTTAAATATATTCACGGATTACCAGAAAGATCTTGAAAACCCCTATTTTGCTCCATGACCAGCACTTCCTGGCCGCAGACTGATTTTAAGTAACTTTTTGCTTAATGCTTGGTGTTTCAGGTCGGTGGTCCTTCCTCTCTGACACATTGCGCTTGACCTTGGCGGTGATTGGAGAAGAATCTGGGTTCAACGAAGGGCTTGAATGTGACTTCTTCAGTCCTGCGGTCTCACTTTCCTCATTACTCAGGAGTTGCTTGCCCCCTTCTTTCAGAATGTTGACATACATTTCATAACGGGTTTTCTGAAGGGAAAGGCAGAGAAGAATGGCAGTCAGAACACTGTTCATCCAGGTGTATGTGAGGTTGCACACCTAGTGTGTTAACAACTTGGAGAACATAGTAAACCGGGTACATGGGGGGGCAGTGGTACAGCAGACTGACAGATTCATTCATTCAGTTAAGAAACTAAGTTAGCATTGCAGTTACCATTTCTGCTGGATTCTGACAGGGTTCCATTATTTTTTAATGTCTGAGCAAGATTCATATATATCACATTTTCTCCCTCTCTCCCTCCACAGTTGTACTATTAGGTTGATTACACAATCAGGTTATATATGAGTCATAAATGTCTCTCTGACAGATTTTAGTTATTTTGGATATATATCCAGAAGTGACATTGCCAAGTCATAGTGCTAAATTGTATTTCTAGTTTTTCTGGGAATCTCCATACAGTTTGCTATCAACAGTATAAAAGAGTTCCCCCTTCTCTACATCTTCAGCAGCAGTTTAAACATTTTGTCTTTCTAATAAGAGCCATTCTAACTGTAGTGTGATATCTCATTGCTCCTTCAATCTGCATTTCCATTGATGACTGGTGATGCTGAACATCTTTTCATACTTGTTGACTATTTGGCTCCCTTTGTTCTGTCCTTTCTCTCATTCTCTACCTCTACCTCTTACTTCCGTTCCTTGCAGACTGCCATTTTATAATCATTTCTTTTCTCTTTTTCTTTATGCTGGTATACATTCTGGACATTAGTCTCTTGTGACATGAATGATTTGCAAATATTCTCTCTCATCTTGTAAGAGGTATTTCATTCTGTTGATCATTTCCTTTGCTAAACAGAAGTTTTCAGTTTGATGCACGCTCATTTGTGAACTTTGGCTTTTGCTTTGACTGTGCTTATGAAGTAATATTCAAAAACATCTTTGCTTGGACCAAAGTACTAAAGTGTTTTCCCTGACACTTTCTCTCCTCTCTCTCTCTCTCTCTTTCTCTTTCTCTCTCTAATAATATCTATATCTATATATTTTTCCCTCCCCCTTCAGTTGTAGTACTTGAACTCAGGGCCTGCAGGCTGTTCCTGAGCTTTTTTTCTCAAGACTAGTGCTCTATCACTTTGAGCCACTTCTGAAAAGCTCCAGTTCTGGTTTTCTGGCGGTTAATTGGAGATAGGAGTCTCACAGACTTTCCTGCCCTGGCTGGCTTTGTACCGCAATCTTCAGATCTCAGCCTCCTGAGTAGCTAGGATTACAGGTGTGAGCCACCAGTGCCTGGCTTCCCCAAACTTTTAGTAAATCACTTTTTTACGGGTTTAATGTACCAGAGACCAAAACATCTGATCAGTGTTAAAATACACAACACTGACCAAGCAACTTTATAAATACTAAGACAGTCATTGATACTGTTTGCTGTTTTACTAACAGCCTCTTCCTCCATGGTAACGGGACAGCATTTTATTTTATTTTTGTAAATTACAAACCCATTCCCAGTCCGATGTCAGAAGCATGTCTTAAACCAGACGCAGCTTAAACAGACAGGGTAGCCCTTCTTCCTTGGCCCTCCCTTTCGTAGGTCTCTCTGGAAGCTATGTGCCCTTGAAACTATGTGTCCTCGCTTTGGTCACTGACATGTAAGTAGAAGTCAGGCCACTTCTGCAAAAACAGCCTTTGTATCCTAATTACAGGCGATAAACAAAATGTTTGGAGCCATGGTAGGCATTCTGGAAGCATGAAATAAACATGAAAAGAAACAAGCCAATGTGCTCCCTGAAAGCAGATTAGAAATTTAGGAAGACTGCACAAAATTAATGGTAACATTTAACAGCCAGCAACCACCCACTCACATTTTTCTTAAGTGAGATGCAGGAAGTGTTTCTGCTGTTCAAACATTTGGTCAAGTTTCTAACGCTTTCAGCCATAAGCATTCCTAATTAATAAAATAAGATAGCTTTCAGTTTGGTCTCAATAATAAATATAAAAAAATCCTGAGTTGTACCTGTCAATTTTGCTTAGGAAAAATTACTTGATTAATAAGTTTTGATGTGGCTTAGCTTTGTTTTTCTGAAGATTCAATACATTGTTTATGGGCATTACTTAAATATTGGGCATAGTGAGATTACATTATAGATATGAAATCAAAGATTATTTTTTCCATTGACAATTTTACATCATTTACTTATCTCTATGGCTGGAGTGCAAGTCTTAGTCCCTTCCTATAAGCATACTACATGCAAGCTATTTAAGAGCTTCTAAGAGATTCTAGGAGCTAATAAAAATGAGAGTTCTTTACCAGTTTAAGGTTCTAGATAATGATTTATTATTCTGGAATATAGAGATAATTTTTAAATTAGGAGAAGAAAATCTAAAATTAGAACTTTTCTCTTTGACTCTACCTTTGATAAGCCATCTCAGAATATATTCAGAATCATGCCATTTCTCTTTGCTTCTAACACTTCAGTACAAAACCAAGCACAATTACCTCATGCCTGCACTGCTGCAGCATCTGCCTAACTCTTTGCTTCTTTCTCTACCTCTGCCCATTATGTACACTTTTCTCAAAACAGCAGTCTGATAAAGTGTAAGACAGAGTATCCTCTCTGATCAAAATACTCTTCTCATTCTTAAGATTGTCATCTCAACTTTTAGCTGTTAAGATATGTATTCCTAGGTTTTATCAGCCTGACCATTCTTACACAGAATTTACATGTAATGCATCGTGATCACCATTTATGACTGGATATACAGTTGGATACTAACCTAAGATTCTTAAGCTCCCTAGGTTAGAGAATATTAGCTTTACATGTATTAATACTGGTAAGAAAGTGCTACTTAATAATAGTAATGCATTATACCCTTGCTTTGACAATGTTTATAAACAAGTGGCAGAAAAGAAAACATAGGGAAAAGGAAGAATGAAACAATGAAAAGAGTGGGGATCTTTTTTGATTTAGTGTGCCACAAAGCCATCACTACATAAGAGTTTACACAGTCCCAGGTAGGGTATAAATACTAAGCATAAGATGAGCTGGTCAGGGCTGGGAAGGTGGCTCAGTGGTAGAGAGCTTACCTTGCATGCCTGAGGCCCTGGATTCGATTTCTCAGCACCACATAAGCAAAAAGAAAAAAGCTGGAAGTGGCGTTGTGGCTCAAGTAGTAGAGCACTAGCCTTGAGCTGAAGAGCTGAAGGACAGCGCCCAGGCCCAGAGTTCACGCCCCATGACCGGACCTCCCCCCCTTCCCCCCCCCCGCCCCCCCGCCCCACCAAAAAAAATGAGCTGGTTAAACTGTGTCCATGAGAAGTACTGTGGGAGTGAAAAGACAGCCTTGTGGCAAGACAGCTGACTGCTGACAATGTCTCTTAACTAATGAAAGTGGCTCTAATGCATTCTCTTAAATCCCCACTTAGCCTTCATTGTGTGTCTTGTTCAGGGGTGCGTCTTTCGTTAAAAAGGGCCAAGGGTGTTTGAGAAAAAGAAGGAATGCCTCAGGGACAGTTCCCTACCTTTGCTGATGTTATTATTCTTTCTTGGTAGCTGCCAATTCATTCTCAAATCAATTTTAACTCTGAGCAGTTAGTTTCCTTCCTCAGGAACACTTCCCCCAGCACAAATAGATTTCTAGTAGTCCAAATTCATGATATAATTCCACTAGCAGAAAAATAATTGGGATGGGATTTTTACCAAATACAACAGCAGTGGCTACTCTTTGCTGATAATCATCTGAGTACAGTTCTCTTGGATGTCACCCAGCTAGCAAGCTCCCTCTGTTCATTTCTTTCCTAACATTAACTATTTTCATGAAGTTTTCTATGACAACCAAGAACAAGTACCTAGTGTTCTTCAATTAGTCATCTCCTTAATACTATTTTTATGGGGGGGCATACATATATTTACTGAGCTCATCTTCAATATTTTGTAAAAACCCTGCTCAAATACATAGAAAAAAATTCTCTTTTCTGTAGTAGTAGAAGCAATGCCTTCAGGGATAAGTGAAAAATACTGTGCCTAGGCCATGTAAGCTGCTAGTTGGGTTGAATGTCAATTGCTTGCTGAAAAAGTCACAGCTATTGATATTCTTGGAGGAGAAGATTAATCACATCCCCATGTAAGCTGACATGCACTCCACAGTTTCTTCTCCATTGAGCTCTGAATACCATTTCATATTTCATTTATTAGAATCATATCTCCCTTTAACCTCTGATACAGAAACATAAAAGTAACAAGCTAAATAAAAATAAAATGTGCTGTGATTTTTAACTTACTACTCCTATTTGCATTCAGCATCTCTTTCTCCAGCAATAAAATCCTGAATACATTTTCCCTGACATTTTGTTTCCTCATACAGCGAGGGTAAAAGGTCATCTTTAGACAGAATGAATAGAAAGCCAATAATATCATGTACACAGCAACATGTCTTTTGCTCTTAGACTTTTACAATGGGAAAGAAGGAAATAATCATAAGCCCAAAACAAACAAAACAAGGAGCTTCTGAAATAACTGCTTATTTGCATACAGACTATCTCCATTCTTCATTAAAAAGACTGGTGACAGCCGGGCACTGGTGGCTCACGCCTGTAATCCTAGTTACTGAGGAGGCTGAGATCTGAGGATCACGGTTCAAAGCCAGCCTGGGCAGAAAAGTCTGTGAGACTCTTATCTCCAATTAACCACCAGAAAACCAGAAGTGGTACTGTGGCTCAAACAGCAGAGTGCTTGCCTTAAGCTGAAGAGCGCAGGGATAGTGCCCAAGCCCAGAGTTCAAGCCCCATGACCGACAAAAAAAACCCCCACTGGTGACAGAATTGAGAGGTACTTTCTCCTGATCACCTAGTTCACCCACTTCTACCTGCTAGCTACTTCTGCCTGCTAACTAAGAGAGAAGCAACATTCAAGAGTTGTTATATAAAAACTCTATTGGGACTTATTGTTTTCAAAAAATATTCCTCCTATGCTACTCCCATATTAGGTAGAAGTAACCAACTGCACACATACATGCGCGTGCATGCAACACACACACACAC